GAGGAGGAGGAGGAGGAGGAGGTGGATGAGGAGGAGGGAGAAGAGGTGGAGGAGGAGGAGGAGGAGGAGGCGGAGGAGGAGGAGGAGGAGGAGGAGGAGGAGGAGAAGGAGGAGGGAGGCAGACAGGCAGGCAGGCAGACAGGCAGGCAGGCGCTGGGGGATCGAAGTCCGCACAAGGCCTAGTGCACTCGTGGGACCCCTGCGGGGAGCTGGGAGCCAGCCCTTCACGTTGGAGCGGGCCAGCCTGGCGACCCACCGCGGGTGCCGTTGCATCCGAGGTGGGTGGCCACATGGCGGTGAGGCACGTAGCCTCGTCGTGAGCCGAGAAGCGCGGGGAGGGTCCCAGGCCACCTCGGGCGTGGGGCCTCCCAAGAGGCGGCAAGCCGACAAATGAGAAACCACAAGAACAGGAGGCGGGGCGGCAGCTGTAGACGTACAGCAGGCCGACACTGATGAACACGAAATATCCTCCTGTCGGGCCTTCTCCCCTTCCCGACCGCTGGCGGCGGGAGGCAGGGCAGGGCAAGGCACAGCAAGGCAGACATAATGCAACACGAGGCCACGCTAAGAGATTCCAGTCGGGGCCGTCTGCAGACTGTTCGCTACTGGCTCACTCCGCTCAGAACTACTCCACTGCAAGCTCGTCCACAAAATTCACTTGATCTGGCCAGGGAGGGATGAGGCTCTCATCATCGCACTCGAGCTGCTGCTGTGCGTAGCGAAGGGCATTGATGGCATTTGCGGCGATGACCGTCTGTGTGCGAAGTCGGCGAAGCACCTCTTGCCTTTCCAGGCTCTCTTCTATCTCTAGTCGCGCTGGCTGATTGAGACGTCCGTAGCACAACTCAAGCAGGGTCTTGTGGCGCTGTAAAGCGTTGGCCGCATCTCGAATAGCTGGGACGGCCTGGAGGAACACAGGTCTAGTGCGGCGCAAGCGTTCATTACTCACCATCAATCTGCCGATCGGTGTCGAAGAGCGGACGTCGAAATGTGCAATGTGCGGCTGGATGTATCTCCTCGGGTGAGGAGGCGGCTCTTCCATCGGCACTGTAGTCGGAAGCTGTGAAGATACGAAGAGAAGGCAGCCAGGCAATCAATCTGAGCCCGACTGCAACGTAGAGAAAATGTGTCGGCACGAAAATGTGTACATTATACTGTGGTATGTGGTAGCAGGCGTCGGTAGCACTACTGTCCCCCACTCTGGTACCTAGGCCCCGTCGGGATCTCTGGTGGTCCACCTGCGGGTTCCTGCATGTCGGTACCTGTGCCTCCGTGGGTCCTACTCGGGGCTTCGCCAGCGGGGTCGTGACAAGCTCTCCGGGGCCCTTGGGGAACGGGAGCAGTAGGGGTCGTTGGGGTCCCCCTGAGCTCGATGCACCTTGGGTCCCTGTCGGTGGCCTGGGGTCCTCGGCGTTGGTCGTCCCTTGGGTAACTCCCGTGAACGACTCCACAATGCTCCGACGCCCGAGTATATACTGCGTGGCAAGATCAAAGACTCCTGAAACTTCGTGCTAAGTCCCCTCTGGTCCCGAGGAGTCTGGTAACGCCTCGGGTCGAGGCTGATCGCATTAGCAATTTTTTCCATCTCTCTCTCTCTCTCACTCTCTCTCTCTCTGGTGGCCAACGTGCAACAGGCGACGAAAGAGGAGGCATCAGCGTACCGTGGGCTACCGTCGTGGGAGACGCTTGGACCCCTTGCCCACCGTGAGCTCCCACCGGCATAGGCAGGCTGGATTGTCGTCGCGATGAAGCGCCTAGCGCCTGCGTCGGAGTGCCGTTTCCACTGCACGCTCGAGAGCTGTCCTGGGAGGAGGGGGAGGAGGGAGGAGGAGGAGGAGGAGAAGGAGGAGGAGGAGGAACGAGGAACGAGGAACGAGGAACGAGGCCAAGCGCAGCCGTCGAATAGAGCGGGCAGCTGGCGGCCACGGGCGGCGGGATTCCCGAGGGTATCGAGGCGTCCTCAAAGGACGCGGCTGAGGAGGCTCCCCAGCTTGAACATGCCCTGCCCCTGGGAAGAACGTCCAGGCCAGGCAGGGAGTATCCAGGTAGAGAAGCACCTGGGACACGAACACCCCGACGTACACCAGCACGAAGCTGAGCATATCATCGACCATAGCCGTCGACGAAAGGATGCTGCGTCGCCCCTGGGAATGCACCTCCAGGCCAGACGAGGAACATGAAGGCTTCGACGCACACCAGCACGCCGAGGAGCGTGAAACACAGCATCGACCACGGCCGTCGATGACAGGTAAGCCTCGTCCCTGGGAGTGCACATCCAGGCCAGACGAGGAATATGGAGTCCACGGCGCACAGCCGCGCGCCGATGAACTTGCAACAGAAACACATCGACTCAGTCGACGAATTCACTCACGCTCGCCCCTGGGAGTGCACATCCAGGCCATACGAGGGTTAAGCACCAGCAGGAGGGCCTCCTCACCAAGCAAAGATGTGGCGACGCTGCGCCTGAGGTGTTCCCCGCTTCCTCAGGCCATCCGAGGCGACGCGAGCCTGAGGTGTTCCCCAAGATAGGGCTTCCTCAGGACTTAGCGTTCTGACGGTTGTGACGCCCGAGCGGTAGGACAAGCCAGCACACCTGGTATCTTCACGAAATCAGCAAGGCCGCACGCGACACGAGCTTCATCGCATCCGACGACAGGGGCCGCCGATCCCCAGCCACGCAGCCACAGACTCGCCCTGGGCATGCACATCCAGGCCAGACACGAAATAAAGCAAGCAGCACCGTTCTCACTTCACCGCCCCTGAGAATGCACATCCAGGTCAGACGGACTTGCCCCTGGGAATGCACATCCAGGCCAGACCAGGAATACAGACAGGAGAGAACCACATCGACGATCACGTAGTCGATGAATCCGCCATTTGCGGCTCCGACTGGCAGAAGTAGGAGGACGAGGGGGGGGGGGATACGAGGAAGGAGAAGCAGGAAGGAGGAGGAGGAGGAGTAGGGGGGAGGAGGAGGGATGATGATGATGCTGCTGCTGATGATGATGAGGATGATGATGAGGAGGATGATGATGATGATGATGAGGAGGAGGATGAGGAGGATGAGGATGAGGATGAGGATGAGGATGAGGATGCGGAGAGGATGAGGAGGAGGAGGAGGAGGAGGAGGAGGAGGAGGAGGAGGAGGAGGAGGAGGGAGGAGGGAGGAGGAGGAGAGGAGGAGGAGGAGGAGGAGGAGTGGAGGAGGAGGAGGAGGAGGAGGAGGAGGAGGAGGAGGAGGAGGAGGAGGGGGAGGGGGAGGGGGAGGGGGAGGGGAGGAGGAGGAGGAGGAGGAGGAGGAGGAGGAGGAGGAGAGGAGGAGGAGGAGGAGGAGGAGGAGGAGGAGGTAGGAGGAGGAGGAGGAGGAGGAGGAGGAGGAGGAGGAGGAGGAGGAGGAGGAGGAGGAGGGAGGAGGAGGAGGAGGAGGAGGAGGGGAGGAGGGGGAGGAGGCGGAGGAGGAGGAGGAGGAGGAGGAGGAGGAAGAAGAAGAGGAGGAGGATGCCGCACTGGGCGTTTTTTTTGTTGGGGGGGGGGCGCACGGGTCTCGGCCGGATTGGCGCTTGCGGGCCCTGGTCGGCAGGGCTTGCCCGCGGCCTCCGCCCTCGCCCCTCCGATCGCCGCCGGCGTCCAGGTGCCGTGCCTCCGCGCGCACGGGCCTCGTCTGCACCGCCATGATCTGTCCGTGTCCATTTGCGCGGGGTCGTGGCTTGTGATCTCGGGGAGCTGTGGGTGTGGACACCTGCGCGCCCGCGTGGGCAGGCAGATATCCACATCTGCTGCTCCCCGAGACTCTAGGGAACGGTCCCGCGGCAGCGGATGTGGACATATCTGGCGGCGCATCTTCCCCCTTCCACTGCTCGGGCGACGAAATCTATACAGATCCCCTGCTCCCTGGCCAGGCCCATCCTGAACCCAGGAACTGTGTGTACGCCCTCCTGATCAAGCCAGGAGGACGTGGCGTATGCACCGCTTCTGGATTCAGGATGGGCCTGACCAGGGAGCAGTGGATATGTATAGATAGATTTCGTCGCCCCAGCTGCCGCGAAGCGACGGGGGAGGACAGGCTCACTACACAGATTGGATGGTAATTCACGGAAGCTTCCGCTCGTCCTTGATTGAGTGTGTATCGGCGAATGGCGCCGAATGGCGTTTAGTATCGCCAAATAGCGCCCAATAGCGCCGAATAGCGCCCAAATAGCGCCCACTGGTGTCCAATGGTGCCCAATGGCGCCATGGGGGGAGATGCATTATGCCCGTTTAGTATCGCCGAATAGCGCCCAATAGCACCGAATAGCGCTCAAATAGCGCCCACTGGTCGCCAATGGTGCCCAATGGCGCCATGGGCGCGCTATTGGGCGCCATGGGGACGACCAGAAGCTTCCGTGAGTTACTTTCTAACACAGACTCCCGCGCTGTGTGTCATGCCAGTCTGACACTGCGTCCAGCGATCCACAGTGCCTAATGGCACGCGCGCATCCCTCGGCGGCGTGCCAGGTTCACTCGCGCAGGACGAAGTCCTGGCAGGTGCTTGGCGTGGTCTACCGCCTCGCCATTGGTATCGGCAACCGATCCGTAACCTGCCTCGCATTTCTGGGTGCTTTGAAGCGGCTGGCTTAGCTAGAGGTGCGGAAGAGCACGAAAAAGTGTGCCCCTTGCTCCCTGCGCTGGAATACAATCCCGAGTGGAGGCGATCGTAGTTCTTAGGACCCCCCCCATTTCCCAGGCGCGACTCCCCGCCTGAGCAGAATTTCCACGTTTCGTGGGGCAGATGTGGTCACAGAGGCGGATGAATGACGAAGCACGGGCACGAGCGTGGGCCTTGTGTACTTGAGGCCTCCGACCCCAGGGTTGGGAGTCGCTGCATCGCCTCCCGCTGCGATCCGTCCCCCCCCCTCAGTCTCGCGTGCCACCTCATCGGGCACGAAGGGTACGAACACTGGTGCGGAGAGGGTGGGTGGGGGGGGGGTGGAAGATGGGATGGGGGCGAGGGTTAGGATGATAAGGAGGAGTCGGAGTAGGCGAAGTAGGGAGAAGAGGAAGAGGAGGAGAGGAGGTGAAGGAGAGATCGCCGCCTGCAGGACCCGATGTGCGCTACAGGTGCGATCCATCGCGACTCTGGCATAAGCCCCCTCCCTCACTAGCGTGACCCAATGTTTCAAAGACCAAGTACCATACCTATACGACCACCCTTCGAGTGATCAGGAGGTTGTGGGGGGGGAGAGGGGGGGAACCAACATCTGACTCAATCGATCTCACTATCGAACTCACTCAATGGGACACCACGGGACACCACGGGACACCACGGGACACTTGTCGATCTCACTATCGATCTCACTATCGATCTCACTCACCGGGACACCACGGGCCACCACGGGACACCACGAAACACCGCGGGACACCTCTCGATCTCATTATCGGTCTCAGTATCGATCTCACTATCGATCTCACTATCGATCTCACTATCGATCTCTCACCACGGGACACCACGGGACACCACGGGGCACCACATCGATCTCAGGATCGATCTCAGTATCGATTTCACTATCGATCTCACTCAACGGGAAACCACGGGACACCACGGGAAAATGTCGATCTCACTATCGATCTCACTTTTTGGTATACCACGGGACACCACGGGACAGCTCGGGGCACCACATCGATCTCAGTATCGATCTCACTATCGATCGCACTATCCATCTCACTCAACGGGACACCACAGGACACCACGGGACACCACGGGACACCACGGGACAATTGTCGATCTCACTATCGATCTCACTTTTTGCGACACCACGGGACACCTCGGGGCACCTCATCGATCTCAGTATCGGTCTCACTATCGATCTCAGTATCGATCTCACTATCGATCTCACTATCGATGTCACTATCGATCTCGCTCAACGGGACACCACAGGACACCACGGGACACCACGGTACACCACGGGACACCGCGGGACACCGCGAGCCACCGCCAGGCAGACGGACGGACGGGCGGGCGGGGGATAATTATTTGTTTGGACACCACGGGACACCACGGGACACCACGGGACACCGCGGGACACCGCGAGCCACCGCCGGACGGGCGGGCGGGGGAAAATCATTTGTCTCGACTTCGCCCTAGCAACGGCGGGTTCATTCTTCTCGCGCGCCCACGCAGCTTCGCCTCCCCCGCACGCACGACACGAACGAAACGAAACGATTGCCCGGTTGGGGGTCTTCGTTCCACTGCGATCTCACCCCCAATTTCCGATCATGTTTATATTCTTGCTGTTCGCCACGTTTCACAGCAAAGATGTGCACAGGGGATCACATCTGTATGCAGGTCTACTTTTAATATACACACGTATACGTTAGAGAGCGTGGACCCCAGGCAGTGATTTCCTACAATCTATGTGGCGCAACTCTCTGGTGAAACTCACAGTTGTCAACTCCACTGCTCGCGTAATCATCCCACCCACCCACCCGCAACTTTTTTTTCACAAGCATGCGGCGGCGATTTCGATGAGTGCTTGGCGTTGGCCGGTGCGTCTCTGCGGCCGCGCTGGCCCGTGCATGCTCGCGCGCGCAGCGGCCAGCTAGTTTGGCGCGACCGACGCGGCTGGCTGGGCATTTCCCAGCGGGCAGTTCAGTGCGAGTCGGTGACTTGGGCGGGCGCGGTATCATGGTATCGTCGACAACGGTGGACACGATGATGATCGTAGCGACGCTTGTGACGATGATGACAAAGGCGACGTCACGGCCAGTGACGGTACCGATGCTGATCACGCCGACGACGATGACGGCGCCCTCGGGTCGGTGATGAATGTTTTGGTCGGAGTTTGACATGCTCGCGCGGCCGACGCGCGAGAGAGGCCCGCATGGTATTATTTGACACGGATCGTGCCCCCCCAGCACGCGCGCAAGGGCGATCGAATGATGGCGACATGCGGCGCGGAAAGGCCTTCTTGGCATAATTTGATGGACGTGGTGAACAGTTCTGGTTTTCCACAGAATTCGCAAGAACGCGAACGCATTTCTGGTTTTGAAAACCGATGTTGCAAAACCATGCGTCTTTATGTTGTCGGGGCACTCGATTTTGACATCCGTACGAAAACTAATGTTTTTGAAGGATTTCGGCATGCGCGCGAGACGACGCGCGCGCGTGTGCACTTTGTTCCGTTTTTTTGCAAAGGGATTCTTGCGACAGCGCGCACGCGAAGGCGTTCGAAAGATTTCGATATGCGCGCGCGCGAGAGACCCGTTTGGTAGTATTTTATGAGCAGGTTGAAAGAACCTAAGGCTTTTTGGAAGTATTCGCAAAACCGCGAGCGCAATCGTTCTTTAACATTGTTGTTGCGAGGCCATGTGTTTTTGGAAAGGGATGTTTTCGGGATGCTCGATTTTGGAACCCGTACGACACCTGAAACTTTCGAGGGATTTAGATATGCGCGCGCGTCGACGCGCGCGTGTTTTTTTGCGTGTTGTTGCAAAGGGTTCTTAACAGCATTTTTTTCGTCTTTTTTTCATAATTGAGTGCGCGCGCAGTATTTTTCTGGAGGCTGCGGGGGGGAACCGAAACCGTCCTGCCCGGGATGGTATGAATTCATGTTTCGGATGGATGATGGGGCAGGATCGCATGTACATTGCAATGCGAAAACGTATGCCGTTAACCCCGGGGGTGGGTCGATCTTTTTTTAGACAGGATAATCTAGGTGGTGCACTCAATGTGGTGTAACCTAGATGTTGCAATCCATGTGTTGCAGCATATGTAATGCAAACCAATACAGATCAGTACAATGCAACGCAAATCGACGCAACGCAATGCAAAACAATGCGCAGCAATGCGTTGCTATTGTGAGCCGATGCAACGTAACGCAAAAAACTGTGAAGCAATGTGCAGCAATGCGAAGCAACGCGAAGCAATGCGATTCACTGCTACGCAATGCAGCACAATGCGCATCATTTCCAAGCAATGCAGCGCAGTGCAAACCAATGACAAATAATACAAAGCGATGCGAACACATGGAAAGCATGGCAAGGCAATGCAAAGCTTGCAAAGAAATGCAGCGTAACGCAACGCAATGCAAACCAATGCAAATAACAGCAAATCAAAGCAATGCAAGGCAGTGCAACTCAATGCAAAGCAATGCAGTGCAACGCGAAGCAACGCAACGCAATGCAAAGCAATGCGAAGCAATGCAAAGCAGTGCAAGGCGATGCAAACAAACGTAGAGCAATGCAAAGCGATGCAAAGCGCGAGCCTCGCGCAATCAACATCGTGGCCAAGGACTGCGGCGACGGGCGGCGACGAGCGGCCACAAGCCTGTCGGACCGTCGACCAGGCCCAGTTCTTAGAAGACAAGCAGGAGCCCCTGGGTGCAAGCACGATTTTGGGAATGTAGCGATATGGGCGCGTACATATTTGGCATATATATATATATGTATATATACACATTTTATATGTTTACTTAGACATACATATACAGAGGAGAGAGAAATAGAGAGAGAGAGAGAAACATAAAAACACACAAGAAGAGAAAGAGAGAGAGAGAGAGAGATAGGTAGAGCGAGAGAGAGAGAGAGAGTGAGAGAGATAGAAAGAGAGAGAGAGATAAACAAAAAATAAAGATAGAAGGAGAGAGAGAGAGAGAGAGAGAGAGAGCGAGCGATCGAGCGAGAGGAGGACAGAGCGAGAGGCAGGAAGGGAGGGAGAGAACGACACACAGAGACACACAAACATATGTATGTACGCATGCATGCATGCATGTATGTATGTGTGCATGTACATGTCTATATATATGTACATATTTACACATCGGTGTGTACATATATATATATATACACAATTCACGCATAATCATGGCTCAAGCTATCTTGGCTCAAGCCGTTCTGACTTGGGCCTGCGCGCCCGCACTCCCGCGCATGCACTGGGGCAGAGGCTGTGGCTAGAGATGGTGGCGGCTGGCCTGGCTTCGACAGGCATGCGGTCGGAAGTGGTGAGGCGCCGGCTCCGCCGGCTGCGCTTGCACGATGACCATGCTGCGTCGCGCGTGCCACCTGGTGCCTACAGCCCAGAGGTATCCATTGTAGCGGAGCTTCCCGACATCGAGGTTGAGTACGATACCTGCGGGCTCTTCCCTGCAATCTTTACGGATGCCGCCTGCGAGAAGCACAACGCTTGCGAGCAACACGAGGGCGTCTCTGAACAGTACAACCTGGACTGCGAGCAGCACGAGACCGGCGCTGAACAGTACGAGCAGGGTTAAGGTCATACGGTGAAGACGCTGGAGGGCCACGATGAATTCGAGCAGGCTTGTGGTCAGACCTTGAAGACTCCGACGGGCACGCTCAAGCGCGACGTCGGGAACGAGCAGGTATGCGGGCAGACGCCGCTGACGTTGGAGAGCACGCTGAACACTAACGACGAACGCCAACATGGGAGTCCATGTGGGCAGATGTTGAAGATGCCGACGGGTGGGCCCAGGGGCGACGGCGAGCACGAGCAGAACCACGGGCAGATGCTGATGGGGGGCGCAGTCACGGGCGACGTCGACTACGTGCGCAACCTAAAGGACAAATGCCACGAGCTGACTGCGCTGCGAGGGCGCACCTTGCGGCGGAGGGGGAGGATTCGGTTCGCGATGGCGCGCAGATGATCACGCAGGCCGTCGGCTTCCGCGGGCGCACGGTGGGGGCGCTGCGCTGTAAGAGCGCGGCGAAGATCGTCGAGGGCGGGCCGTGCCTCGTCTTCCTCAGCCTCGCGAGGGAAGGCCTCAAGGACTTCGGCGTCGAAGGCGTGCTGTCGGCCTTGGGCGAGGCATGTGTCCAGGTGGTCTTGCGGTGGGAGGCCAGAAGCTCCATCGGAGACTGCGTCAGCTACTCGTGGGTCGCTTCCCCGCTCGAGGACAAGACGCGCGCGCTCTTCGCCCTGGAGGCGGGCCAGCCCGCCTAGAGGGTGCGGTCCGTGGTGAGCTGGCCGCCGGGGGGGCGCGTGGTAGTCTCCGTCGCAGCACGAACGATCCTCTTTCCTTCTTCCCCTCCCTTCCTAAGGAGGGAGGGGAAGAAGGAGGATGTCCGCCCCGGACAACGGCCCCTCCCTCCTCTCCCCCTCCTTCCTCCCCTCCCTCCTGAGGGGGGAGGAGAAGGAGGATGTCCGCCCCTCCTTCCTGCCCTCCCTGCTACGGAGGATGTCCGCCCCGGACAGAGGCTTTGTCCGGGGCGGGGCGGCGGGCTCCGTTGGGAGGGAGCGGCGCGCTGCCCGCAGTGGCAGGCCACGGGGGCCCCGCAGCGCCAGTTGCGCCCCGGTCCTTTCTGCCACGGGCCTCGTGCGATTGCGACCTGCGCGCGGCGCTGGGGGGTCGTCGTTCTGGAGTGGTGCCCTCCGCTTTCCCCGTTTGCTTCGCTACCTGTCAGTGTCGTGTGCCATGATTCATGCGCTCCGCGCGCATTCGACCCGCTTCTTCCTCGCTCAGGTTTGTGGTCCTTCACGGCCCAGTCTGGGATCTAGGCTTCCATTGTATACCACCACTTTGAATGCCGGGCGCCGTTTCGGTTCCCAGTTGTTTAATTCGTCTAGTTTTTGCCTCCTGGTCGTCTTAGTTCGTGTGTTTTTGCTCGGGCTGGTGCACCCCGTCCCCGCGGAAAACAAATTGCTGGATGCTGGGGGGCTCTGCGCAGCGGGGTCGATGTATGCGTTGTGACGTGCTCTCGTAGGGCGAACCTGGTACATGACCTAATTTGATTCTTGCGTTTTCTACAATGAAAAATTCCCCCTCAGCAATTGCACGTTTTATCGTGTAATTCGTATCGTGCTCCAGATTTCCGCGGTTGCGCTCAGTGACGATTGGATCGACAATATGTTTGCTGCCTCCTCTCCACAACATGGATGCACGCGTGCGTATGTTTTATATATACATACATGTCCAGTATACACATGCACCTCCAGTTTTACTTATACACACATATACATTCGTATTTTTGTTATAAGATTCCACTGTTCATGTATGTTTGTATGCACATTCAGATGCCTGTATGTATGTACGTACGTATGCATATATGCATGTATGCATAATGTATCATTGTACATGTGGCTATGTATACATGTGTATATGTATATGTGTATATTCATTCTTACGCGTTTTTTGTGCTTTCTTTTCTTTTTTCCACAGGGAGTGAGGCCTTCGGACAGCGCGCGACCTGTTCCCGCGAAAAAGCGGCCCTTTTGGAACGAAAATGGCCGATTTTGGTTGCGTCTGTAGTCCCCTTATTTGTTCGAGAAGGCCCGGCCGGGCCGCAGTCTCTGGCAAAACGAGTTTCTTCAGGACAGATTGCAATTTCTGCGCGCAGTCCTGCGAGACATCGTTTGGTACAACACTCGGGCCTCTGAGCCAACCTGCCATTGTCATTTTGAGAGTGCCCAGTGCGAAGCAGTTCGGCAGTCGGGCTGCCGCCATATCGAGAGGGTCCTGATACGTGAGCTAAACGTTGTGCAGGTGCAGCCGAAAGCAACCGTTTCGATGCATTTTTGTGTCAGCGTGGTCTTCAGTTTCGGCCTGGCCTGCTTTCTGAGCGGGCTTCTGCTTGGACGTTGCGCCGATCGTCGACCATCATCTGCGCCTCAGTTTCAAGAGCAGGTGCCGGCCAGTTGGACTCGGAGTGGGCCTGTCGCGCTCTCGACCCGTCGATTTGCTGACTCGACGTAATGAGCGCGTTAGATATCAAGGAGCGTCAAATTTTAGTTCTGTGCAGTGATGGCGCACATTTTATTGAATCGCTTCGCTCATTCCGCCGGCCCGTGGGGGCCTCTTGGGGGCCTCTTAGGGCCTCCAAGAGGCCTCTTGGGGGCCTCTTAGAGCCTCTTGGGGGCCTCTTGGGGGCGTCTTGGGGGCCTCCTGAGGGCTCTTGGGGCCTCTTGGGGCCTCTTGGGGGCCTCTTGGGGCTTCCTGGAGGCCTCTCAGGACCGAGGGCTCGAAATGTTGTTTCGTGCTCCCCCTCTGGGGCCTTGGGGCGCTCTAGGGGCCCTCTTGGGCCGTCTTGGAGGCCTCTTGGGCCGTCTGGGGCCCTCTTGGGCCGTCTTGGGGCCCTCTTGGGGGCCTCTTGGGCCTTCTTGGGGCGATCTTGGGGGCCTCTTGGGCCGTCTTGGGGCGTCGGGAAGCCGAAAAGGTGGAAACACCAACATCTTTCCAAAACCTATGGAAAAGCAATGGTTCTTGCATCTTGGGGCCCTCTTGAGAGTGCTCTTCGAGGCCTCTTGGGGCGTCTGGGGGCCATCTTGGGCGTCTTGGAGCGATCTTGTATAATCTTAGGGGCCTCCTGGAGGCCTCTTGACCCTTCTTGGGTCTCTCTGGAGGGTCTCCGGGGTATTTTTCCTCTGGGGACCCCCAGGGGCCGCCCCCCGCGCGCGAAGTAGAAATACTGTAAAGCAGTTACTGGAGATCTTAGCACGCCTCTGGCCCGTTGGGCCGGCGAATTTGGGATCAGCGGATTCTATTGGTGCGGGTCTTTGCTGGGAGATTGGTTGTTCTCGCGCCAACGGGAGAGCGGCGGATCTTGGGCGCTGCGACGGTCAGTTTCGAGCCCCTCGCGAGTGGCAGGCCAGTGCCAAATCGTTGTCGCAATGACTGCTTCCTTTTTCGGCCCTACCTGGGTGCGACAGCTCGGCGAGGCCATCGCCCCTGCAAAAATGCGGGCAGACATCGTGGGCGAGGGCGTCGAGGTTGATTCGGAGGAGGTGTGGGTCATCGGCGATGCTACTCGCCCGCGGTTCGGCGAGCAGATGGAGCCGGGCATCGTGGGCCATGTCGGGCGCGTGCTGCTTCGAGAGACCAAAGGGGTGGTCCAGCTCGACGCCGACGATGCGAGCTCGAGGGGCACGTGGAAAGTGTCAACGTCAGTGACCTCGAGGACTGGGCGAGCAAGCGCGGTGTAGGTGACCCTCGTCTGCTCGGCGCCCGCAGGGCCGCGGGAGACAGGAGGTTTATCCGGGTCGAGGAGGCCGTCGGGAAGCCAGGGGAAAATAATTTCGACGATTCCCCCCTCGCAGATCCGCGCGCCTCCAGGGCGCGCTTGGACTGGGTGCTGGGGGCCGCGGGCGACTCGTTTGACGCGTGTCATCTGAAGTGGTGCGCGGCCTCGAGTGTTTCGCTGGAGGCGGTGCACCTTCGCGATTTCGGCCATGGGCGAGCAGCTCCTCGGGCGGCTCATCTAGCGTGAGCTCGCGGTCGAGAGAGACGCCAATGACCCCGACTACAGCGGGCTCGGCTGCATGCCGGCGGGCTCGACGGAGGATCGGGGGAGAGTCGCCGTTCCGAACTCCGCGAAATGGGTCGCCGAGAAGCAGCGCTGGCGCGCCTGCGCCCTCGCGCAGACGCGTATGCTGCGCGACGAGAGTGCCGCTGAGGACGAGGCATGGCGGCCCCGAGGGCCCGGGGGGGCCGGCGGCGACGACGGCAAAGGTGCGAAGTGGGCGCCGTGGGGCCAGGGCGAGGACGAGCGCCTGTTCGTTCCTCATGCCGGCCTTCGCTCGCAGGTGGGAGCCTCTGGTCGGTTGCCGCGGTCTCTTGATTTTGAGCGCTGTGGTCTACGTGGTCATGGTCAGCAGCGGCATGGCGGTCCTCTCCCCCTGCCAGCTCGCTCGGCGAAGGGCCCCCCTGGGGGCTCCGGGCGCGGGTGGCGAGGAGTGCGTGGGCGAGCCGGGCGTCGAGGCCCGCGTCTCTTGGAGTCGGTTCGCTCGCTCTCCTGCATTGCGCCAGCGCGTGTTCAGACGCGGGCTGCCTCGGAGGAGGCGGCAGTGGCGGGCCTTCTCAGTCCCGCGTGTCGACCCTGAACTCGCTGGGCGATCGCGTCGCTCTGCGCGGCGCTCGGCCGAAGGACCTGGCCCCGCTTGGCGCGCTCAAAGAGGCTTGCAGAGCGAAAGACTTGCGCGCGCAGGAGCCGCGGCGCCAGTCGCCGCGTCTTCCCGACGAGCTGAAGGTGGCGAAGGGTGTCGCGGCTTCTCGCCGCCCTGACTTCGTTCTTCCAACTGCCGCGCTGGGTCCGGCCGTGGATATCTGACGACACATTCGGATGAGTGAGTCGGAGCTGGAGCAGATCGTCTGTTGGGCGTCTCTGTCGCCCTATGCCGGTGCCCGGACCTCAGACGCTCGAAGAAGCGTCGCCGCGATTCGTTCGCCATTTTGTACAAGTGCCAGCTGGTCGCCTTCCGGCGCCATCTTCACTCGAGAGTGCTGATTTTCTTTATCTGGGAGAAGACTGGGATGACGCGTTTAATATGAGAACAGCAAGGCCCAAGGCTCCTCCTCGCGCGGACTTGGGCGCGATCGCCGCGCTCGCGGATGGCGACCTCAGCTTAGCGGAGCTCTCCGAGTTCGCCGATGCCGAACTGGGCGCCAAGGAGGGGGCCGAGCTCCTCAAGGGGCGGGGGGGCTTGTTCTCGCTGCCGTTCTCGGGGGCCTCGCAGGACGCGGTGGCTAGTTTGACGACTGGCGCGTGCGCGTGGGTTCGGGATGGATGATCCCGACGAGGCCAGCGCCTTCGGGGTCGCCGAGATATGGGGCGGCGATCCTGAGGAGATTGTGCCAGTCAAGCCTGCCGACCGACGGTGAAGCCTGCCGACCGACGTTGTGGTCCCTTGCTTCCGAGCGCTCAGCATGGGCTTGTACGTGGACTTTGTGCCTCTGTCGCTTAGCCGTCGAGCACGCCGTGGCCTCGGGCGTTCCCGTGGGCTTTTTCACGGGCTGCCCGCGAGAAGCACCGCGCTCCTCGGATGTCGCTTATGAGCCCAATCGCCTCATCGCTTGTGAGCCCAATCGCCTCCACCTGCGTGGGCAACTCGGTTCAGCTGGGCCCCAATATTGATGCTTCGGATGTGCAGGGAGTTCTACAGCAGTTCTCTGACCGAGGAGTGCACGGACATGACGTGATCGAGCAGACCCTTCTCGCTCGACCACCTGGGGGCCGTGATCGATGGTCGTCGACGCCTTCTAAATCATTGTCCTTGTCGAGTGTGGTGGGTCTACCTTGCTGGGGAAGAGCCTTTTCGCCACGACGGATTCGCGGCGGGATTCTTCGAATTTGGATTGGACACGTTCCAACTCGTGCCAGAACGCAGTTCCTGGGATTTAAACCATACGAGTCCGCAGAACGGCTGCAAGCTTTTGAAGACGACTGTGCGCGGCGCTATGGCGAGAGAAGGAGCCGCCCTCTATCCTTCAAACCGTTGCAAACTTTTACGGCGAATGAACGCGGCGCTGAGGCGAGAACCACATTTTGAAAAGGACCCGCTTTCTGACACCTTTTTGTGAGGAGGAGTGTGCGCGGCGCTACGGCGAGAGGCGCATTTTGAAACCACCCGCCCTCCATTTTCGAAAGTGTGGCAAGGTCAAGCTTCAGGATCATCACTGGCGGGAAAGTCTTGGGCGAAACGCCCAGCCCTTCCTACCGACACGTCCGTGGGTTCGACAGGGAGGATTAATCATGAAGGGTATGTAATGGAGGAGGAGCCGGCAGCGGCAACGGTCTCGAGCGCGGGACAAGACTGCCGCCAGCTCGAAACTCGAAGGAGGAGGAGGGGGATGAGGAGGATCAACAGCAGCAGTAGTGCGAGACGTCCAGCGGCTACGCTGCACAATGGAAACAGTCTCGGCACACACGACGCGACAGTGACGTTTTTTTTTTGTGTGTGTGTGTGTGTGTAAGTCGGGAATCTGCGCTACGTCACGGCCGGGTGGTGTTTTTTTTGCGGTCCCCGTGTGTGTACACTTGTCCAGAGTTTTGACACTGACGTAGTAGGAAGGACACTGTGCCGATCAGCTCGTCCTGGTGCGTAGTAGCCTGTGTTGGTGGCGCGCGCTTCGGATCCGTCCGCAGAGATGGGCAGGATGGCGATGGACTGCTTCCCATCCTTTGCTTCATCCCATGTCCTGCTCTATCCTCCTCCTCCTCTTCCCCCCTTCCCCTTTCACCCTCTCCTCCTTTTCTTCTCGCTGTTCAGAGGAGGAAGATGATGAGGTGGATGAAGAGGATGGCTGATACGATTGCCTGAGAGTATCCAGCTGCTTGCTGCAAATCCCGCCACCTTCTGGGAACCAGTGCCGCGATGCTGCACTATCATGACTGTGACGCTGCGTGGTCGTTGTGGTACCTCTCAGGGGCTTCTTGGGGGCCGTGTTTGGGGCTTGTTTGGGGCCTCTTGGGGGCCTCGCGAGGCCTTCTACGGGGCCACCTGAGGGATTGTGGAGGGCCTCTCGGAGGCCTCTTGGCCTTCACGCGTGCGATGGCGATGGTTCCGCCGAGCCCTCCGGGGGGCTCGGTTGAATCCTCATGGGGCCGTCTCGGCGGGTCTTGAGGGCGTCTTGGAACTTGCGAAGGGTGGGCTTGGGCCGTCTTGGGGGATTCTCGGCCGTCTTGCAATGTGTCATTTGAAACATGTGTTTGTGGACGTGGCATGCCCGACTAGAGATGGATGGCTACTCGCGGGTGCCAGACGTCGTCCACAGCAGTGCCCCCACGCGTCTAGCCTGAGGACAATAGACCCTTCCACCCTTTGCCATCAGAGTTGTGGTTGTATCAATGTACATGCAGCGACCCATTGGCCCGAAGAGAAAGCAGGAACGATCTCTCATCCCTGCTTATCTGGAGGCGGTGCCGTCTGATTCGGCAAGTGAGATTCAAGAGTTCCTGAGTGCTAGCGATCAGTATTCTTTTGCACAACGTGTGCCAACCGGGGCGGCTGCTTGCAACCACTCTGCTTTGGAATGTGCCTCGGATCAAACGACGTGCATTCATCGATGAAGTTGGTGACGGGCTAGGGGAACCGGCGACATAGACACTTGAGTCTCCAGAGCCTAGACGTGTTCTGGAGAAAGTGGCCTTGGGACGTCATTGAGCTCCACAATGTGCACATGGAGGGGAGATCGCACTCCGCCAACGTACACGTGTCCGATACCGCATGCCAGGTAGCATGAATAATTTTTTTCGAACGTGACCGTCGTACTGACCAACGAGTGCCGCCCAAGCAGCTCAGAATGACGAACTACCCATGTTCAGCAAGTACTGGTGGGAGAGTTGGCGTACCACGCATATAACGTCTGTAGATGGAGACTGTATCCACCAAGGTCTGACAGGACATATGTATAATAATTTTGTCAGCCGTGGCGGGATATGATGGTTGCGACGTCGTCTGTCATGGCAGGAGGTATCAGGACCTTTTTTGGTTGCGGCGTTGTTGAGGCAACAGCCCTTGTGCAGCAGTGCTCTGGTAAGCGAAACGCCCACTGAAGAGCGCACACAAGCGGCCGGTAAAACTGGCGAGCAGGCAGAGGATCTCTTTATGTCGCAGATGTTCGATGGCACGAGTTGAAACCATTGCATTTGCAGCGCAAGACGATGTTCGGCTTTGTGGCCGATCTGGTGCTTGTTAAGCAGGGATGGATGGTAACAGAGGCGCTGGAGACCTAACGCTCTGCGTCGTAGTTGGAGTCTGATGTTCTTTGGATATTTTTCTAAATCTGTGGGCTGAGACATTACATTATGAGCGTCATGCGAACATGCACACGTGCATCGTTTTTTTTGTTCGGGGGGAGGGATGTGTTACCAACTCAATTTCTATTACGCTTCTGTCGAACATCCAAATGCGTTGCTGCATCGTGCTGCGGAAGCCTCTCGCACTGGGCTAGATCAGTTTAGTCATTGTCTTTGTCCTTGTGCTTGTTCTCCTCCACCTCCTCCTGCTCCTTGCATTGTTCCTCCTCTTTGTTTCTCCCTTTCCTCCTCCTCCTCCTCCTTATCCTCCTCCCTCTCCTTCTCCTCCTCCCTCCTTTCTGCCATCCCTTTTCCTTATACAGAATGCCTCCCTGTCGCACCCCCAGACGCGTCGGTAGGGCGGGCCAGGCGTCCCTCCTGAGTCTTCCTCACCTTTTCTGATCCTGAAGCTTGGAACTGTACATCACTTTCACGGATTCTGCGCGGGCCGTTCTCAAATTGTGGTTCTCGCTTTAGCACCGCTTGCATTCGCCGTACCAGTTTGCAGCGGTTTCATGGATGGTGGGCGGGTGGCTTTCAGATTTTGGTTCTCGTTTTAGCGCCGCGCATCTGTGTCGTAAAAGCTTGCAGCAGTTTCACGGTTGGAGGGCGGGTGGCTTTCAAAATGTGGTTCTCGCTTCAGCGCCGCGCACATGAGGACGGGCCCTTTTTTCAAAATGTGGATCTCGCCACAGCGCCGTAAATATATGTGCTAATAGCTTGCAGCAGTTTCACAGATGGAGGGTGTTTTTCTTCCTCAGTGCCGCGCGCACGTGTGGTATACATCTACAACAGTTGCAAGGGCTCGTATGGTTGAAGTCCCAGGAATGTATCCTGGCGCGATTTAGGATTGTGAGGACGCAACAGTCGCGTTTATTCGCGGCGCTGATGTCCCAAGAACCGTGCTTTGGCATGATTGGGGGTTTTCACGCGGATGTCTTCCAATGGGACGTTTCCCGCAATGAGAACACTTCCTTACAGGGATCTATGAAAAGGGAATTTGTAAAGAGGAATTCTTGCAACATCGTTGATGTGTCTTGGGTTTACGCTGGTCCTCCTCCTCCTCCTCCCGCCCCCTCCTCCTCCTCCTCCGCCTCCTCCTCCTCCTCCTCCTCCTCCTCCTCCTCCCCCCTCCTATTCCTCCTCCTCCTCCTCCTCCTCCTCCTCCTCCTCCTCCTCCTCCTCCTCCTCCTCCTCCTCCTCCTCCTCCTCCCCCCTCCTCCTCCTCCTTCCTGCTTCCCCTTCCTCGTCTCCCCCCCCCTCGTCCTCCTACTTCTGCCAGTCGGATCTGTGCCTCTCCCGCCCGCGCGCCCTCGGTGCGCTCGACGGCTCAAGCTGAAGGCAAGCCAGTTTTGTAGTGCACCTCCTCCGCGCCCCCTGGAGCGGCGGCGGGGGAAGGGCTGGGCGGAGGAGGGGGGGGAGGAGGGGGGGCGATGGGTTCAGGGCTTATGCAGCGGGGGATGATGATGGCGATGATGGCGAAGTCTCGCAGACTGCCGACGTCCCCACCGCCCCCTCACTCTTACGTATCCGCATCTGCGGGGTGCTACGTACAGCAAGCCCGCCGCAGGCCCCGATATTTCGTTGAAGCAATGAGGGTGGGTCGCGGGGTGGGTTGCAGGTGGTCACGGGTGGGTCGCGGGTGAATCGCGGTTGGGTCGCGGGCCGGATCGCGGGTGGGTCGTGGGTGGGTCGCGAGTTGGCCGCGGGTGGGTCGCGGGTGGGTCGCGGGCGGGTCGCGGGGTGGGTCGCGGGTGGGTCGCGGGTGGGTCGCGGGGTAGGTCGCGGGTGGGTCGCGGATGGGTCGCGGGGTTGGTCGCGGGGTGGGTCGCGTCGCGGATGGGTCGCGGGGTTGGTCGCGGGGTGGGTCGCGGGGGGGACGACGACAACAAACAACAAACAACACACAACAAACAACAAACAACATCAACAACAAGCACATCAAACACAACATCAATAACACAAACACCACCACCACCAACAACAATTCCAACACCACCACCACCAACAACAGCAACAACACACCATCACCAACAACAACACCACCACCAACAACAATACCACCACCAACAGCACCAACAACACCAACAGCGACACCAACAACAGCAGCAACAACAGCAACAACAGCAACAACACTACCAACAACAACAACACCTCCACCAACAGCAACAACAACAGCACGAACACTAATCCGTAGCCATTTTGGCTCAAGCCGCTGTGGCTCAAGCCATTGGCTACCAGCGCCTCGCTACATCATGAGCCAACGTGGTACAGGTGACGAAGAGATGCAGCGGGCATTTGAGGCCGTGAAGGCGGCCAAGGCCGTGAAGGCCATGAAAGCCAGGCGCGGCATCAAGATGACCATGCAGGCGCAGGCGAGGGCGCTCACGCAGCACGCAGCCTCTCGCAGCCCTGACGACCAGCACAGCGGACAGAACGCGTCTGGGCGACAGGGCGACGCTGCGAGCGGCGACGCTGCGAGCAACAAGGACCCATAGCAGCAGTGAGTGCCCTGCTGTAGGTTGGCCGCCGTCCGTGTTCCTCTCTGTCGCCAGCTGTTGCCGTGAGTGCTTTCCCTCTTCATCTTGCACTTCCTCCTTGTTTGGAAGTTCCATCTTGACTCCCTCTCTCTCTCTGGCTTCCCTGTCAGGCTTCCACATGCGTTACGCTCCTCACTGACGATCGCCACTGCGGAGCCATGCCCTTTGCAAGCCGCTGCGCTCCGAGACTCCCTACGTCGTGACCTTCTCTCTACTTGAAAGCCCCCCGAAGCATTTCGCCTTGTGCTCTTGGTCACGGCGCGATGGAAGTCTGCCTTGGCCTGCCGCGGCAGCGGCGGCCGATCGGCTGGAGCGGTATATGCCCGAGTGCCGGCCAGAGCGGTGCGCCTGTGGGACGGCTGCGCCGCGCTGGGCGTCCTTGGACGGCCACCACTGCGGCGACCTTCGGAAAGACCGACAGCAAATCCTGTTCATTTTGACCCATGAGCGGAACTGCCATGCAGACCGGATTTTAGACGGGGCGGGAGCCGCAGTTGTCTCAAATGTCCCTCCTCCGAAGCAGGTCCTTTTGAGGCTGTTACGTCTGGGCCACCTCATTTAAGATCTAGATTACAGCGACCTCGTATGTCGCGTCACCCATGCTTATGCTACAGCTGATTTTATCACACATTGATATGCAGCATTATTGGTGTGCCAGCGTGCGCATTTAAGTATACAGCTTTTCATGCATACCAGGATGTGTTGGTTTGACACCCGACATGCTATGCGCAGACTCGTCGGTATGCTATTCGCGCCTACGCGTGTTGGCCCTATCGACTCCACTCAGCGCTGCCAATTTGCTTATTTGGGAGAGTTGGCTGTAACATAGTCTGCAGACAACTTCCAAAAGCAAGCTTAGAGTGCACATGGCCCCAGATCGTTGTACAGTACTGGCTGTGACCTCGTAGCATGACGGAGCCCACTTCCCGTCAGATGGGAAGCTAGCTTATTGACGCTGTTCGATGCCTCTTCCGCCGTCACACTCGCCCTCCTGCTCCCTCGCCCTCATCCCCCACGTCCGTGAGAGCCCAGAGCTGTCGTGCGCTTTTCTTTCCAAGCCAGTCGCTGCTACGGCCCTCCAAACGCGCTGGGAGTGACGAGCCGGTGTCTTGTCATGACGAGGCGATATAAAAAACAACACGAACACTAACACCAGCATCAGCAACACCAACACCAGCAACAACAACACACAACAACAACACTAGCAGTAACAGCAACACCAGCCAACAGCAGCAACAGCAACAGCACTAACAACACCAACAACACCAGCAGCAGCAACAACAACAGCAACAACACCAACAACAGCAACAGCAGCACCAACACCAACAACCGCACCAACATCAACACCAACAGCAACAACACCAACATCAACACCAACAATACCACCAACACCACCACCAACAGCAGCATCACCAACAATAGCAACAACAGTAGCAACAGCAACCGCAACAGCAGCAACAACAACACCCACAAGACCACCACCACCAACATAAATAACAACAACCACAACAATAACAACAACAACAACGATCCGCACCGCAGAACCTCACTTCAGCCACGCGCCCAGGGACAGTGAATGACCGTTCGGCCCCCTCACTCTGATGTCGATGATAACATTGGTTCCAGCTCCCCCCAACTCGATCCGCGACGAGCGTCCCACAGCCCGCCCCCCTCGATCGACAAGCCGCCCGCGGCCCCCCGACCGAGTCCATGCACAGACACTCGGATCGTCCCCGAGCCAGACTACACACGGGTGCAGCTGGAAACGTTTCCGCCTGCTGCTATTGCCTTCTCGCGCGAGCTGATCCTTGCATTGCTGCCCCTGCCGTTGTAGCTGATGGCATCGGGCTCCAACTTCGCCTCCCGCTCCTCGAAGAATGGTGTCGGAGCCGCGTGCCGCTCGCCTTTCTCACACGACCTGATCTCAGCGCCGTAGCTGATGACGTCGGGCTTTTGCTTCGCCTTCCACCTCTCGTAGAGTAGCGCCAGAGCCTGTTGCCACTGCTTGCCATTCTCGCACGCCCAGATCACAGCTCTGTAGCGATCGTCATCGAGGAGGAGGAGCAGGAGGAGGAGGACGAGGTGGATGATGATGATGATGATGATGATGATGATGATGATGATGATGATGATGCTGATGATGATGATGATGATGATGATGATGATGATGATGATGATGATGATGATGATGATGATGATGATGATGATGATGATGATGATGATGGTGATGAGGTGGAGGAGGAGGAGGGAGGAGGAGGAGTGATGATGATGATGATGATGATGAGATGATGAATGAGATGAGGAGGATGGAGGAGGAGGAGGAGGAGGAGGAGGAGGAGGCGTAGATGGAGGAGAGGGAGGAGGAGAGGAGGAGAGGAGGAGAGGAGGACGAGGGGGGGAGGAGGAGAGAGGAGGAGAGGAGGAGGAGAGAGGAGGATGAGGAGGAGGGGGAGAGGAGGGATGAGGAAGGCAGGAGGAGAGGAGGAGGAGGAGGATTAGGCGGGAGTGAGGAAGGAGGAAGAGAGGGAGGAGGAGGAGGAGGAGCAGGAGAAGGAGGATGGGTCAGATGAGGGTGATGCGGGGCATGAAGGCTTAACCTCCACGCCTCTTGAGTGCCGTCGGCGCGCAGGAGTCTTTGTCGACGAGCGATGGCGGGCACTGTCGACGTTGAGAGTCAGAAGCGCATCAAGGTCGGCGACCTCCTCCCCCTCCGCCTCCACCCCATCGTCTCCTGCTGTTGCTGCTCCTTCTCCCCTGCCGCCCTTCCCTGCGCTCAGCTGTGGCAGCACAGTGCGGATGTACCGTGGTACGGTGTAGCTTGGCTTTATGCAAAGCCTTGGGAATGAGGATCGGACGTGACAGATTGCGGGACGAGGAGGAGATCTTTACTAGACTCTGTTAGCTATCAGCTCCCCAGAGAGTGCTAACGGCACCGCGGCTCTAGCCTCCTGCCTCGCGAGGAGAAGACCAAGAGTGGGCAGATGCGAATTATGTGCGCGTGCCTGCCGTGCATTTACAGCGTCGTTACGCAGCAACATCCAACCTGCTACTTTGGAGTTTATTGTAGAGGCCTCGGCCTGTGCCGCCGATCCGGGGCGCTTTTGGACGCTCCGTGCGAACTCGTCGTCTTGCCGAGTAGTTTGTGAGTTTTACCTCGAGGAGGCAGGACGGAGCATGACGTGGGAGAAGGAGGAGGAGGAGGAGGAGGAGGAGGAGGAGGAGGAGGAGGAGGAGGAGGAGGAGGAGGAGTAAGAGAGAGGAGGTAAGGGAGGAGGAGGTAAGAGGAGGAAGTAGGAGGAGAGGAGGAGGAAGGAGGAGGAGGAGGAGGAGGAGGGAGGGGGAGGAGGAGGAGAAGGAGGAGGAGGAGGTAAGAGGAGGAGGAGGAGATAAGAGGAGGAGGATGAGGAGGAGGAGGAGGATACGGATACGGATAGTAGAGTGAGTCCAAGTTGCCCGGACCCACCTACATAACAAAATGATAAAAGATGGCGCTAAAACGCCCACCCAAGGAGACGCCTACCGAGGAGTCTCGCCCCGGCGCAGCCGCTTTAAGCGGGACTTCTGCGCGCTGAGGGTCTTGGGGACGTCCGAGGGGCCTTTACAAGGTCGCCTGAGGGCGAGAACCCGCCCCGCCTCCCCAACCACACAGGCACACCGCTCGCAGAAGGCGTACGCCCCCACCTCAGCCATCCGATGGCCGAGGCGGTGGAACAGGTCCCAATCGGCACGGCCACACTCCCCAGAGCTCGGCGCCGCCACCGACGAGGGGCCAGGGGCCCCCACCACGGACCGACCCACGCCTAAATCGGCGCAGGCGTTCCGCTCCCCAGAGCTCTCCGCGCCAGCAGCCCCCGTCAGGCCAGGGACCAGGGCCGGGTCAGGGGGCGGGGGGCCATCGAGCAACCTGGAGGCGGCCGACAGCGCCGCCTCCGCTCCCTCGGACGTCTGGGGCACAAAATCACAGCATTTATTGAACAGCCTCTGGGCAGCCCAACGCTGGATGTCCGAGGGTTTGCAAACACGGTATTTCTTCACCACCTGAAGGCTATGCAAGCCAGCGCGGGATTTTGTAACCGTGTTGCACTGCCTGCACCTCCATTCACCACGGGACGGGCTGTAAAATAACTGGTGGCCAGTCTCATCTCCGATGAATGGTGTCGGGATGCTGGGCAGGGCGCCAGGGGCAGGACTCGGGCGACGACCGACCTCCGACTCCGACGCGAAGAGACCGAGATCGATAATTCGACGCCCTGCCCAGGCTTGATACACGCTGAACTCCTGCGCTTCCGAGAGCGCCATTCGGAACAGATCAGCAATGCCCTGGCCAACGCACTCTTCAGCGGCTCCCCGTTTCGCGAAAAAATCGGCCCAGGAGTTCCCGAGGGCAAACAAAAACGGGGGGCCATCCAGGGGCCCTCTGACCACGGCGTCCTCCAGGGACGCGTGGGCAGGACACCAAACAAAATCGGGAGGCGGTTTTGGGCGAGCCTGCGCAGCCGCGCGAATTCGGCGCCATAAACTTGCATGCTTCCCTCCAGGCCTCGCGTCCACGGGATCCCAGCGCTGGCCCTCCTCAACCAACGAGAGCAAATCAGAAACGATGCACTCTAAGGCGGGGATCTTTTCAAGAGCCCGCAGAGCGGCGAAGCGCTCTGCCTCGCCCACCGTCTGGCTGGCCCCGGGGAGGCGCCCGAAACAGGCGCGGAGAGGTACGCCTGTGTCCGAAATCTGGACCAGCCCCCATCCACACGACCTGATCTCAGGCTGGTTGCTCCAGCGTCCTGAGCCGTCCGTGAAAGCTAAATTGCCCCAGCTTTCCGCCGGGCTGGACCAATCCCCCCAGAACTGGATAGGAGGGTTGTCAGGCGGCAGGGGCACAGGCATGGGCAATAGAGGGAGGCCAATAGAAAACTCAAACGAGCTCGGGTCGCTCCGCCCGCGACGCCCGATGCGGCCCTGGGCCAAAAGCCGATCACGCACCTTCTCTTGAGCTTCCGGGATGGGCACCTCCTCCTCGTGCTCTAGCGTGCGGGTGCGCAGCACGTCGCACTCAAACATCACGTGGCCGCACGTTTCGCGGGCCTGCCCGCACTCGCGGCACGCCGGTGCCGAAACTCTGCCAGCATCAAACAATCGATCCCGGAGCCACCAGGAATTGGCCCAGATAGACCTCAAAACTCCCGCGGACCGAGGATTTTTGACAGCGGCCCTCTTGGACCCAACGCAAGCTCGGATCCCACGGGGCCACAGCTCGCAGTCCCCGGGGAAATCTTGAAAATGCGCCTGGATTCTCAGCATTTGCCAGCGCTGGATACCAGCACGAACATGCATGACGACGTGGTGAGGGTCGACGTGCAGAAGAGAAAAGGTCTCCCCACGATCAGATCTGAGGATGATTGAGGACTCCATGGTCCAATTGATTCTCAGAAGGGAGAGCCAGACTACAGCTAGAGGCCCAGAAGCATGTTGCCAGTTAAACCCATCAGCGCGCTTGGCCGCCAGCTCGCGCCAGCACCTCTCCAAGAGCCCAAGCGACACCGATTGCTGCCACACTATATTCGCATACTGCCTGATGGGGCCCACGGTTGCGTCAAAAATGGGGTCGAACCACGGGTCGGCCTGGGAGGCCAGGTAGACGGTCAAAGAACTCCCCCTCCCCTTGGCCCCCACCAGCCCCCCCGCTATAGCACGAAGCCTCCGGAGCTCGGAGTCAGTGGTGCCCGAAACAGCCCCGCTATGATTCGCTGACGGGAGCAGCCCGCTGCGCCAGAGGCACGCGATCTTGTGGCCGACGGCTCTCTGGAGGCCTCGAACCTTGCCGAGTCGCCTCTTGAGCTGGGACTGCCGAATTCGCGTGATGGGCCGAGTACGGTCCGCGCCGTTTAGCTCGTGCCCGAGGTTTCGCATGTTTCGCTTGGCGTGGAGGCCCACGCTGCCGGCGAACCCCCGGGAGGCCCGCTGAACACGCCGGCTACTCGAAACGTACCCTGCTTTCCCAGATCCCGAAGACTGGAGGACCAGGCCAAGGGGTTTAACATCGGCCTTAAAATTCGCCACAGCTAGCCAAAGCTTCCGAACGTCCTCCACCCGCTCCCCCACCCACTGGACCGTCAGATCGTCCACAAGCGCTCGGGCACGATCTGGTCTGATCGCACGCGGCGCACTGCGCGCAGCGTGAGGAGGGCAAGGAGGGAGGTGGAGTGGGGGCAGCCTGCCAGCAGCCCCTGCCATGTCACAAAGGGTTCCGAGTAAGAGGCAAAGGCTCTCAGAACTCGCGGTTGCCGATGATATTCTGCAACCATCCATGCCAACCGCAGCGGAAAATTGTGATGCCGAGCCTCCGCCACCACTTCGCCTGGACTGATAGACTCATAACACTTCCAAGCATCCAGAGCGGCCGAGGCAGTGTGCCACCCGACCAGCTTCGCCAGCTCAGCCATGAGGTTGTGCTCGAACGCCGCTGCCGTGGATGTGCGAGCCGCGCCTCCTGCGCCCCAAACGTCGCTCAAATCAGTTTGGGCCGCCCAGCGCCTGGAAATCAAGCTGCGCGCCTTGGCCCAGAGCCGGATCAGCGTCTGCACCAACGCTATCAAACGTGACCCGCCGTCCGCCTTGGGAAGGCGAACCAGCTCGGTGACAATGCGATTATCTGGCCAAAAGCCGAGCTCCTCACACTTGGCGAAAAGGCGGCTGAGCACAATGAAACCAGCGTCAGACAGGTGCCACAAGGCCCTAGGTGCTATGCCTGATTGGCCCACTGCCGTCTTCGACTTGAAGCGCAAACAGGCCGCGCGGAGCATATCCACAGACATCGGAGGCAGCCGTTCCCAGTCGTCGAAATCCGGGGGCCGCCGGCACTGCGAGAGCCCATGCACCGACCAGATCTTGATCCAACGATCGAGCTCTCGCTGGGCAAGCAGGTGCGGGCTACCGCGAGGCGTCTGCGCGACAACCTCCTGCAAAGGGTGCAACTTGGTGAACCTGTGAGCGCCGCTGGCACCATGAGTCAAACTAGCTCGCGCCCACGATCTCCACGCTGCCGACCGGGTCTTCTCGAAAGCCTTGCGTGCAACATCCGCCCTATCGAGCAGCGACTGGGCCATGTGGTCAGCCCGGGGATCCGCCCAGACCTCGATCCCTCGCTGGAGAAAGGTCGCGAACTCGGAGTCCAGGTGTTGGAGGACCAGCGGCGCCTTCTGAATATTCTGGTAGAATCTCTGCAACTCTAACAATATGCTGACCAAGCCGTCGGTCTGCTGGAGGGTAAGAGCACATACGAGGCTGGACGCCGTAAGCCTCTGACACTGCAAGCAAATATGCCCCCAAGTACCGCGAGCATGGGAGATCCACCGGGCAGCAACTTGCATGGCCGCCGTCCGCTCGTCCTGGTATTGCCGACGCCGGGGCGGTTTCCACTCCTGCTTAACCAATTTGAACGCGGGGCCGCCTCCTCGCCCAGAGTGGGCAAGCCGATCACCACCACGGAGGCCCCATCTATCAGCAAGCTCCGACTCGATGCCGTGGAGCACCTGGTCCCAAGCCCTCTGGAGGCTCTGCTGGTCCGTCGCGTTCTGGACGGCTCTCAGCGCAAACTCCCAAGCCCTGGTCTGCGGGAAGGGTGAACACCCCACCGGCGCGTCAGGGCCAAACCCGCGAGGCTCGGACCGGACTCGGATCCACGATTCGACATCGTACGCCCTGATCGGCAGGTGGACGGGGAGGTGGGGGTAAGTCGTAGCGTGCTGGTCCACCCACATGGGGTCAATCCGCGTGACCAGGTTGGCACACACGACGCCGTAGTCGATGATGCTACCGAGATCGGACTTGATACACGTGGGGTCGGTCGGCGTGACTTGCACGCCACAGAAACCCGCCATCCAACCCGTCGCCAAGACATCAGCAGGCATGTTGAAGTCCCCGAGACATAACCAATCCAACTGAAGAGCTGACAACATCTGCAGATAATGTTGAAGACTGGCTTGCAACTGGGAATTGTCCTCGTCCAGGCCGGCCGAGTCATGAAAATAAGCGGAAACCACAACAATCCCATTGCGCACACCCCAATGGACATGCGCTGCTGTGATACGGCCAGGGGCCAAGCTCATGTCAAAGAACGGCGGCGCCGTGACCGAGATATGCGTTTTGGTGAGCACCGCCACGCCGCCAGTGGTCCCGCCCTGCCCAGTGGGCTGCGCAGGACTCCAAACCCCGTGATAGGAGGAGGAGGAGGAGGAGGAGGAGGAGGAGGAGGAG